GATGGGGCTCAGGGACCCTACGCGGCCTGGCCACTCCTGCAAGCCTGGGCCGGCGGTGTGGTGGGTCTGGGCCTCCGCCTCCTCCCCCATCAGCACCATCCCGGGGCCTCATGTGGAGGATGGACTTCTCCACCAGGCAAAGGCAGTGATGTCAAGAGGCAAGAGGGAAGGATGAGAAGGAAAAGAAGGGAAGGAGGACAGGAGGGGTCCTCCTTCTCCCAGCCAGGGTCACAGCCCCGGCTCAGAGGGCCCCCGGGGGGCATGGACCTCCTCTCTCTCTTTTTGGCTCAGAGGCATCTGGGCTCACAGCATTACCAGCCTCGGAGGTGACCGCTTCCCCCAAACCCTCCCCTAATATTCGTGGTCCTCAGTAGTGAGACCGGAAGGCCCTCCAGTCCTTCACAGCAGCCCCTCCCCTCCCCACAGCCGTGGAACAGGGGCAGAGGTGGAGACGACGCTGGGAGGAGAGATCATGGGTCTGAAATCCTTGTCCCAGTCTGTTGTCCAGGGTACTGCTCCACAACAGAGGCTCCAAGAGAGGACAGGACGGGTGCCAATCCCAAAAACCACACTTCGGGGCTGCTGTTCTGCCTATGCGCTCCCCACATCTAATGAGATGTAAGACTTCAGCTCGCTCTGCAAATGGCCACGGAGCCCCGTGAAAGCACACGTCCTGCGTCTGGGGATGTGTCTACCTATCCCGCCTCCCTGACTCCCGCGGGATGCTGCATATAAAAGGACAAAACCCTTTCCCGGTGTCTGCTGTGAGCAAATCCACTGAACAAATTCTCAGGACGCTCTCTTTCTCTCCTTTTTTCTTTCATCTCCTTCTCTCCACCCCTCCATCCTTTCTCTTCCCCTTCCTTCTCTCCTGAGAGGTTGAGAAAGCCCAGCGAGGGGTCCCCACTGGGTCTGTATCCTAGTCTATCTGGGTCTGAGGGACCCTAGACACCCTCCCTTTTGCCTCCCTCACCTCTGCCCAGAACCCTGAGACTCAGGGAGGCCAAGCGACTTGCTCAAGGTCACAGGCAAGTTTGCAATAAAACTGGTCTGAGAACCTGAGCCTCCTGACCCCCCAGTCCAGGGCTCTTTCTAATAAATCAGGCTTTCAGATTTTGGCTTTCAGATGCCCCAGCTGGTAATGTCTGAAGGGCCCAGTTCTGGAACCAGAGAGATACGGAGCCCAGGTGGAGAGAGTGACCCCTAGGGGCCCCTGACCTTCCTCGGAGGCAGGGTCGGCTGAGGTCGTGGGAAGGGTTAGGGAAGAAAGAAAAATAGGTTAATGGTGAGGGGGCTGGGGAGGGGGCAGGGGTAGCAAGTGAAAGGATTACCCCAGTCTGCTGACGAGTGCAAATTATATTTATATATGTGCTAAATACAGTCACTATATTGGAGTTTTTCACTAGGTCACAGCATACAGAATCAAAGGTTTGCATTTCGTATGGAATGTATCCAAAGAGGCCAGCACCACAGTAGGACAGCTTGCAATCACACACCCTGATAGTTTGGACGAAATAAAGTTCGCGGAATTTTATTTAAATTTTTTTTTCGTATTCATAGTTGTTTGTCATCGTACCAATGCATGCAAAGCATTCCACTCCCAGAAACAACGCCAAAATGAGGTAATAGGAGTAATAAAAAAAATTAGTATCCTTTCTAAATAAATAAATTATAATTAAAAATGCAAAACAACTATAAAAATAATTAAATAAGAACCCACGATATCTACAAGTTAGTCATAAATTATGATTGTTAAATATAAGGCATTTAAACTCACAAAACCCTGTAAACTAGCAACGTGCCATGTTTTTTGTTTTTTGTGTTTTTTTTTTTTCATTTTTGTTTTTCTATCAGCTGAAATCGCTCTAGCATTTGCTCTACGCGCAGGAGATGAAACACGACAGGGGACCTGACAGACGTTGCTACAGCCCCACGCGGGGAGTGTTTGTCCCGCCGGCGGGCGGGGGGCTTGGGGGATTTCTTCAGGAAAAAAAAAAAAAAAGAAAGAAAGAAAAAAAGATCTGGTGCTTTTTCTTCACCATTGAAAAAACTGTGCTTGTTCATTAGGCGTAAAGAGTTGAGAATACTTGCAGGGAGGCTGGGACATTTGCAGAAGAGTAGCTTGAGTCCTGTCACGACTGCTGGGCCAGGGCCACGGGGGCCAGGTGTCCGGGCCAGTAGAGGAGCCCCGCGCCCTGGCCCGCCCCCCTGCTGGCGCCAGCCGGCGCTGGCTGTGGCTGTGGCTGTGGCGTTGGTTTCGTTGATTGGCGTCCTCTGCAACCCGCTGCGGCCAGGGCTACACTGCGGCTGGGAGGCCCAACTTGAATCCTGGGGTGGCTCTCGCCCCAGAAGGCACTCATGCGTCTCAGTCAAGAAAGGGTCTGAGTCCCTTGAGTTGAGCAGTAGGAGGACTACCGGGGGTCTCCCCTCCCGGAGGTGGTGGGTACAAGATGCTGAGGCCCAAGCCTGCCTCTTCTCCGTCTTCCCGGGCTCCTGGGCGAGGGAGAGGGGGCTTCCAGGGAGCAGAAGCACAGACCCCTCTCCTGTCTTCTCACCCAGAGAGCTGCCCGGCTAAGGAGCCTGGAGCTGGCAGGAGCCTGAGTCCACGTCCCCTCCTGTGCCCCCCCTGCAAGGTGCGAGGGCCCCAGACAGATGGGGAGGGGAGGAGGGCTTCAGGATCCACCCCCATAGTCAGCGGCTGACCTCTCCCCACTGGGTGATCCCCACCCCAGTTAGTGCCTAGTGTTGGCCTGGGGCACTCAGAGCGTGCCCAGAACAGGGAGGAGGAGGGGACCGCACTCCCACTCTCAGCCCCTGAGACATGTTGGTGCCCACAGGAAGTTGTTTTCAACAGCTCGGTGGGCACGTGGCCCTACCACTTGAAGGATGTGTTGATGTCAGGGAGGATCAGAGAATGTGAGTGTCAGAAGGAAATTTAGCAAGCATCCAATCCAGACTCCTTGCGTCGCAGCTGAGGAAACTGAGGCCCAGAGAGAAGGAGGTTTCCAGCATTACGCGCTTGGTCACTGAAGAGCCAAGACTAGAACCCGCGGACACCAGCCCTCGTGCCATCTGGCTCCGCACCGACTCCCTCTACTTGCTAGCCTTCTGAACCAGCCTCAGAGAGAACAAGAGTCCCAGACTAAGAGGGGAGTGACCTTCCCTAGACCACCCTGGCTGCCTCCCGGTCCAAAGCAAGCTGGGGAGAAGTCCCAGCTTCCTGTGGCTACTAGTGATGAGCTTGGGGCCCCCCCCCCCCCACCCCGGATGGGGGGGCACTTTCTGCACTGGTGGGTTCTCCAGCCTTCAGCCCTGGAGAGAGTTCATGCACTGAACTATGGAACTGGACGACATAATGCTCGCTGCTGTTAACCCTGTGTCAGTGACTCACCACTTTTGTGCTATTGTATGTGTCTTGCCTCCTTGGCTAAACTGTAAGCTCCTCAAGACAGGAACACTATCCTCTCTCCCAGCACTGAGCAGGCACTCAGGAAAGATTTTATAGAACACGAGAGTATTGGTGCTGGAAGAGGCTTCAGTCTGAGTAAGATCCTTGAGTAACCCTTCCACCAGAAGCCACATCCCCATTCTGTGCCTGCAGGTGTCCAGAACAGCCATGCCTCTGCCCGACAGCTCTGGTTGTGCTAGAAGGTTCTACCTCAAGCCAAAATCTGCCTCTTGGTCATTTTTAACCCATTGGTACTGGTCGTACCCTTAACCTTACAGAATTTCTTCATATAGGGGATAAGTATCCTGTCCTGCTTAGTCTTCTCTTACTGAGATGAGGGCATTGAGATGGGGGAGGGGCGAGGAGAGGGGGAGGCTTCGAGGGCAGTGCAAATAAGGGAGGGGGAGGGGTAAAGGAAGAGAGCAGAATTTCAGCTAGGCTGGGGTGTTTTGCACATGGATAAAGAAAGCTGGGTTGGGGTTGGGGTTGGGATTTGGTGGATTTTCCCATCTCCATTCTTCTGTCCTCCCATCTCCCTGCTCCCTCTGAGGTTCAGAAAAGTCGCGGGGTGGTGCAGAAAGACACATTGGGTGGTGTCGCTTGGAACTTCCGGATCTCTGTCTCTCACCACTCCCATCCCTAAACCCCCAGGAGGGTCCCAGGCCACGGCACAAATGCGTTGAGTGGATGGTTATCAGTCCTCACAACATGTAGGTGAGGGCGAAGAAGTGGAGATAGGGAGGACTGTCATTTCTCCCCCTTTCAGGCGAAGGCAAATGAGGCACAGAGAAATAGAGGGACTTGCCCAAGGTCATCAAAGACAGAAAGAGCCAGAGACTAGGGACACAGGGCCTCCCAAGCCCAGCTGACACCGTCTCGGGGCCAGGGCCATCTCTGAGGGACTCCACTGGGATTTGAGACATCCCATAGGAAGCAGAAGTCCTCCCCCAGGTCCAGGGTGTTTGACCCCAGCCCCTGAGTGCCAGCCAGAGCACTTTGGCCCAGGCCAAGGGTCCACCACCAGCTGTACTATCATATCTTCATCATCCAGTGAATTTTTTGCATAGGGAGGCCGTGGCCAAATCGCCTCTTTGTGACAGGGCATACACACAGCCAAAAGGAAGAAGGTGGCATACGCAGGGACGTCCTGGCTCTGAGGAACACGGGGGCAACTCGAGCGGAAAGCTAGCTCCGCCCTAGTTCCACAGGGGACCGTGGGACCCGGGACATGGCTGGAACTAAGTGCATGTGCCCTGGAACTGGGGAGCCCTCCTTCAAGACAGAATTTCCCCTTTCACTGACCCAAACTCTGCCTTCCTCGCCCTGGCTGAGCCCCTCGGGTGCCCAGCGAAGCCGCCGTCTCCCCCTTTTCCTGCCCTCCCCTTCCCCAGACGCTCCCCTTCCACACTCCGTGCACTGTAAACATGAGAAAAACAAAAGCAAAGGAAAAAACAAAACCAAAAACAAAACAAGAACCACCCCCCTCCCGCCTCCCAACCCGGGTGAAAAAAAAAAAAAAAATCATCCTTTTTCACCGGAAACAGGATTTGGCTTTTTTTTTTTTTTTTTCACCTTTGATTCCTTTTTCCTTTTTTCTCATAAAGACGGGAAGATTTGGGCTGTCGTTGGTTGGTTCAGTCAGGCACCAAAACAAGGAACTCAATGAGAAATATTTGGTGCGAATTCGTAATAGCGACATGTCCACCACAAGATGACTAGAGCACCACACACAACATTTTTCTTAAGCTAACATGCTCCGGCTGCCATCCACAGAAATAGCTAGAGACCCCTACATGGTTTCTACGTGGTCGAGAGGTATATACACAATCCTTCAAAGGACAGGATTGAGGGGCCTGTCTATCAGCTAGGACCTTCCAGTTCGCATCCAGATTCTCAGCAGCGTGGGCCCCCCCTTCCCACCCCTGCTCCGGGCACGGCCAGCTCCCTCCCGCGCAGCGAGGTGGATGGGGGCAGTCACTGCTCTGGATGGGGGGGGGGGTCGCCCCCCCACCCCTCCTTTCCCTCAGACACTGATACCGCCAACTCCTCTTTCCACAAAATGTGCTTGCAGGCTTTTCCTCTACATCAAATGGCTCAGAAGGCAAAGTTTGGCTGCAAGGGCTATGGCCGTGGGGGGGACCTGGTGAAGGAAAATGGGGTGTCCACTGGCTAATTCCTCCCTCAGCTGTCGGCTCCCAGTTGTGTCTCAATGTCCACTCGGCAGATGGGACATTTCTTGCTCATGGCGAGCCACTGGTCCACACACAGTTGGTGGAAGAGGTGCATACAGGGGAGGCGCCTGGAAGAGAAGGGAGGGTCAGAGGACTGGTGGAAAGAGAGGGGCCCGGGGCGGGGCCAGAGGCGGAGCAACACCGGCTCTCACTGGACTGGGGACCACACCAACACCACGGGGGATGGGCCAAAGAGGGTGTGGGGAGCCCTGTTCCAGAGTGAGGCTGTGGCTGGGATGGGAAGTCATGACAAGGCCCTCCTCCGCGAAGCCCTTTCAGACCAGCCAAAAACAAAGCCATGACTTTGTCTTAGACCCATCCAGGCCAAATATCACCCTGCTCTCTCACACTCTGTGTCCACCAGTCCACACCATAGACATCGCACATCTCCGGTGTTCCACACCCACCTGCCGGGAGCAACCACGCGGCACACTGTGGCACGCCCAGCACACACATGCACAAGTGAGCAAGCACCACGCCCCTGACATACAGCAGGTGACTGATCGCAAATGCCTGTGCGGGAAGGGAGGGGGAACAGAAGAGTCTGGCCTCCTACCTCACATCTTCTCCATCTTCCAGCATAGACAGGCAAATTGTGCATTTCTCATCTGTGTCTGACTCCTCCCCCTCTTCCTTCTTGCCCTTGCCATCCTGGGGTCTTCGCTGTGAGAAGAGGAGGGGCATTAGTTACCTGGAGCAGACGCACCTGGTGCCTACTGTCTTTCATCCACAGCCTCCCCTCCCTTACATGTAAGTCAGTGTCTCTCTAAGTTCTTAAGGAAACCCCAGGCTGGTGTGCTGTCGCTAGACCCTTCTCCTGGCCTCCTCTCCAACTCTTCCTCCTTGCCTCAGGATACAGGGGTGGTATGCTGGCCGAGGGCACATAGGGTTTGACAGGAAGCGGGTGCCTAATGAATCGATCCTTCGCAAAACAATGGTTTGTGCATGAACGGTTTGCTCTATTCCCCTCATACTCTCCATCCTCCTTACATCCTTTCCAACATACATCCCTGCCTCCAGGCTTTTCCCTCACATTCAGGCCCAGCAAGCTCCACCCATCCATCCACCCATTTAAACCTCCATCCATCCATCTATCCACCCATCCATCCATCCATCCTGTTTCCCTCCCTTCCTTCCTTCCTCCCTCCCTCCCTTCCTCCCTCCCTCCTTCCCTCCCTTCCTTCCTCTCTTCCACTCAACTAGTGTCTACTCATTTATTCATCTATTACTAGATGAAGGCAAAACTCCTCAACCTGGCATTAACTCCTATAATTTTATATTGTTGGATCTCTTCCTATCCAGAAAGTTCCTTTGGCATAGGCAACAGCTCCAAACACAAGTCTGGACATCAAACATTCTGTTTATACTTACTGACTTTAGTTGTCCTGTTTTAAATTCTATGCTAATTACTTGAAAATAGTTAACTAGTTTACAGGAAGTTCCAAGCTCTTAGATGCTCTGGACCATGGTCCACCCTTCTTTTTAAAAAAAAAATTTTTTTTTCAACGTTTATTTATTTTTGGGACAGAGAGAGACAGAGCATGAAGGGGGGAGGGGCAGAGAGAGAGGGAGACACAGAATCGGAAACAGGCTCCAGGCTCCGAGCCATCAGCCCAGAGCCCGACGCGGGGCTCGAACTCCCGGACCGCGAGATCGTGACCTGGCTGAAGTCGGACGCTTAACCGACTGCGCCACCCAGGCGCCCCGGTCCACCCTTCTTTAGGTACTGTTCCACACTTGGCCAAGTAGAAGGCACATCACTGGTGCTTAAAAACATATTCTGGAGAGCAAGGAATCTAATCAGTGAATGAAACCGGCCATGTTTCTTGTCCTCATCTCCATGCTGTGCAGTGAAACAGTCTGATAATATCCATGGGAAGAAAACTAGCCCTTCTGGCCCCTTTCCAAAGAGAAGCAGGGGTAAAGGCCATTCTTGCCAAGAGAAAAATCTGAGGAGTCACAAGATTAGAAACATGCACAGAATGACTGTAAGCTTCATGCCAGGCTTGGGGGCCAGGTTTCCCCACTCTGGTCCCTGGTCCAAAGCCCTGGAGATCCCTGGTGTGATATGGCGTCCAGAGTACCGCAGCCTCCCTGGAACACTGAAGAAACTCTAAGCTTCTGCCCTCAGCCTCCCTGCGCCCTGCACACGCTAACTGCAAACCATGCGATGGCCACTGCATAAGTGTGCCCTTATCTAGAATCCAGAAAATCAAAATTGCGCCCTTAGTCACATATAACCACCATGGCTTTTGAGTCTGAACGGAGTCATGACAGTCGGCCTGCCTAACAGCCCAGCTGTGTTTCTGGTGGGGAGTGGCCTTCTTTTAGCTGGTCCTTTGAGAAAAGGGATATTCCATAAATGACACTAATAAGAGTCACTATTTGCCTATTTTCTATTGTTTCTCCCCGACCATTATTCATGATTTCCTTTTTATAGCTAATGACTTAAATTTTTTTTCAACGTTTTTATTTATTTTTGGGACAGAGAGAGACAGAGCATGAACGGGGGAGGGGCAGAGAGAGAGGGAGACACAGAATGGGAAACAGGCTCCAGGCTCTGAGCCATCAGCCCAGAGCCTGACGCGGGGCTCGAACTCACAGACCGCGAGATCGTGACCTGGCTGAAGTCGGACGCTTAACCGACTGCGCCACCCAGGCGCCCCTATAGCTAATGATTTAAACCTAATTGTCTTGCCTTGTTTTACCATGTCTAATCTATATTTAATGATTGTCTCTTTTCGAATCTTTTCCTATTTTCTCTTTTGTGTTTGTATTCTTTTAGGTCTTCTGGGTTTTTTCTTCTCTTCTCATCCATGTAACTTTTATTTTAACAGTAACTTTTCTCGGCATTTATTTATTTCATATTTATTTTACTCCTTCTGTCTGTCCCTCTTTGTCCTCATGCACAATACCTTTTCACGTCAGTGTTATTGGTTTTAATTCTGTATGTTGCTTCCATATCTTTTTAAAAAAGTGTTTATTTTTGAGAGTGAGTGTGCAAGTGGGGGGGCAGAAAGAGAGAGAGAGAGAGAGAGAGAGAGAGAGAGAGAGAGAATCTCAAGCAGGCTCTGCGCTGTCAGTGGACAGCCTGAGCAGGGCTCAAACTCAGCAACCATGAGATCATGACCTGAGCCTAAATCAGGAGTCAGACCCTTAAACAATGAGCCACCCAGGCACCCCCCTATTGCTTTCATATCTTTGCCTAATTCTTATTTTTTACATTTTTCTACATGAATAGATTTATTTTATATATTCTATTCTTATATCACCATTGTAAAATATTTTTCATTTTGTTTTGTATTACTTGACTCTCAGTTAAAATTTTTTTAAATGTGTTTATTGATTTCTTTTGAGAGAGACAGCCATCAGCACAGATCCTGATGTGGGGCTCGAACCCACAAACCATGAGATCGTGACCTGAGCCAAGATAAGAGTTGGATGCTTAACCAACTGAGCCACCCAGGCACCCCTCTCAGTTCACATTTTCAAAGTTTTTTTCACAATTTACTTGGGTGGGTCCTAAAGTTTATCATTTCATATTTTTAATTCTTCTGGTGTCTTTTTTATAATATTCTATTCCCCTAATTGTCCCTTTAGTCTCATCATTTTTACCTCAATTCTTTATATCATTGGCTTGGTCCACATTCCCTTCTCATTCTCAGTGTGTGTTCTGTTCCTGTCTCCTCACGGCCTGTTGCCACAAGGGCAGGTGAGGGTGTGGCCCTGGCAGGAGTGAGGATACCCTAATCGGTGATGAGGAAGCTGCTCCGGGCTCCTGAACACATCACTCATTCCTTCCATGTTCTCCTCCAGTAGCCTAAAGCTCTCCCTGCAGAGAATGATCGTTTTCCACTTGGAGATGACACCTTTAGTTACTGAAACACTGTCATTTCCTCTACGGACACACTACCCATATAGGACACATCGAGATTAATAAATGTTGATTGAAATCACTTACGGGTGAATCCAATGCCTCTATCTTGGTCTGCAGAGACCAAGATTCATAGTCTTTGACACTGACTGCATGGACTGACTGCATGGGCAAGCCTAGAACAAGTGAGCCTTGTATCAAGGTGAGAGTGGTTCACCATTCCCGGTCACTCACCAGATACCAGGCACTGTACTAAGCTGTTCTATGCATTGTCCCATTGAATCCCTGGAGCATCCTTTATGGTCGCTACTAACACATCATTCCCGTTTTACATTATAAAGGTCAGAGAAGGGGCCAGAAAAGCCAAGTAAGTTGTCCAGAGTACCTAGCTATCAGCAGTGGTTATGAACTGAATGTCTGTGCCTCCCGTCCCCAAATTCACATATTGACGCCCTACGCTCCAATGTGATGGTACCAGGAGATGGGGCCTCTGGGAACTAATTAGGTTTAGATGAGGCCATGAAGACAGAGCCCCTGGGATGGTATTAGTGCCCCTATAAAAAGAGGAAAAGACACCAGAGCTTCCTCTCTCTGCCATGTAAGGTTACAGCAGAAGGCGGCCGTCTGCAAGGCAGGAAGAGAGCCATCACCAAGAACTAAATCTGCCAGCACCTTGATCTTGGACTTCCCAGCCTCCAGAACTGCAAAAAAATAAATGGCTGCCGTTTAAGCCCTCCAGCTGGTAGTATTTTGTTATAGCAGCCCAAAGACAGTGGTAACACTGAAATTAAAAGCTGGCCCTGTCCGACTTCAACGCCGGGTGATCACAACCACTGCACCCTAGCACCTCATGAGGAAGTGAGGATGGGCTCTGGCCTGACCACCATGAGCATTTTCCCACTCCAAGTTTCTCAGCACTTGCCAAGCTTTTAATTCTTAAATTTTAAAACTATTTAATACTTGCTTCCATAGAATTTATTTTGTGGGGCGGTTTTAGTTTACATTAAAACTGAGCAGAAAACACAGTGCATTCCCAAATTCCTCCCCCCTCAACACCACACACACACACACACACACATTTTCCCTATTATTAACATTTTGCATTAATGTGGTATCTCTGTTACAACTGAAGGACCAATAGTGATACACAGTTATTAACTGAAGAACATTCGTTTACGTTAGGGTTCATTCTTTGTGTTGTAGAATTCTATGGGTTTTGACAAATGCACAATGTCATGTGTTCACCATTACAGTACGTATGATACTTTCACTAAAAATACCCAGTCACCCACGTGCTCATTTATTTTTCCCTCCCCAAAGCCATTGGCAACAGGGATCTTTTAACTGTTTAGTTTCACCTTTTCCAGAATGCTATATAGTTGGAATCATATAGTATACCACCTTTTTGGGCTGGCTTCTTTCACTTAGTAATACGCATTTAAGGTGCCCACATGTCTTTCCATGGTTTAATAGCTCATTTTTAAAAATCATGGAATAATATTCCATTGTATGGATGTACCACAGTTTGTTTGTTTATTCATTCACTCATTGCAGGACATCTTGGTTGCTTCCAAAAATTTTTTATTTATTTGAATGTTAAAATGTTTTAAAAATCAAATCCCTGGGTTCTAATCCTACTCCACATTCCTGAGCAATAACCCTGGAGAATCTACCTCTACAGGCTTAGGGTAGAGCCTGTAAACGTGTGGCTTTAAAAGCTCCCCAACTGGTCCTGCTGGTCAGTGAGGATTGGAAACCCCTGCTCTGAAGGCTTACTTGCCTATTTGTCCACACAGGGGATTGGACTTGGAATTCTCTTCTAAGGCAAATCTCAGCCTTCACTGCAGGTGCTCCCTTGGCTCACCTCATTCAGATACAAACATTCACATACCTGTACCCCTACCTAATACACCTACTCACAAGTCCATGTGTACCACACACCCAGCCCTCCTCTTTTATGATGAGAGGCACCCCCATCTCCTCTCCTGGTCACACCTGACAGAGACAAGGGAGAAGACCCTGGGAAAGCATCACAGCTTCAGAGCCTCTAACCACAGCACCTCAACTATGCAGGCTGACCTGCTTGCAGACGCACCTTCTTGTATTTGTGGGGGAAGGTGAACCTCTCGATGGTGTTCTGTACGGCTCCCCGAGTCACATTTCCCAACCTGTCCTCAAGCTGCAGCAGCTCCTGCAAAGAGAAAAATGTGGATTATGTGCACTCTGCATGTACAAGCTTACACACACACACACACACACACACACACACACACACACACAGGATAAGGAGGAAGGGCACTGAAAGATGTTAACAGGAACCATTCACATAGCCATCAGGAAGAACTTGCCTGGTACTGAAAGACCCCACATCTCTACTCACCCTCTCTTTTTCTCTCTCTTACTCTCAACCTTGAAGCTCCCTGCAACCTCCCATGCCCTACCCACCAGCAGGGGAAAGAGGGAGGGGACAATGAACAATAATGGTGTCTCCACCAACCCAGCTGGAGCCAGACAGAGAGGCAGGCATACCTCGTAGCTCTCCCGCACTGCAGAGGTGTGTCTGCTGGGGTTCAGTCCCTGGAGAGCAAGGAAGTGAAGCTGAGGGTAAGGGTAGTTTCGGATTTCATGGACCACCTGTTGGGGAGGAAACGCTCAGATGGGATTCCCGGCTGCATGAGCCCGGCATCCAACTCCTCACCACCCTCATAACCACCAACCTGCACACCCTCAAGATTCTTCAGGCAGAGGTTCTATCTTTCCTGCTCCTCTGTCCTCCTCTCCTCATCGAGAACAAAGCCTGTACTAGACCAGCCCCAGAAAAAAAATAACAAAATCAATGAAGTAAATATAAATTAGGGGCACCTGGGGGCGCCTGGGTGGCTCAGTCGGCTAAGCGTCTGACTTCAGCTCAGGTCATGATGTTGCAGCGTGTGAGTTTGACTCCCGTGTCGGGTTCTGTGCTGGCAGCTCAGAGGTTGGAGCCTGCTTCGGATTCTGTGTCTCCCTCTCTCTGCCCCTCCCCTGCTCACACTCTGTCTCTCTCTTTCTCTCTCTCTCAAGAAATAAATAAACATCACAAAAAAATTAAATTAGGGGCACCTGGGTAGCTCAGTTGGTTAAGCATCTGATTCCTGATTTTGGCTCAGGTCATAATCTCGCAGTTTGTGGGTTCGAGCCGTGCATCAGGCTCTGCACGAACAGCAAGGAGCCTGCTTGGGATTCTCTCTATCCCTCTCTCCCTGCCCCTCCCCCGCTCACACACATGCATGTTCTCTCTCTCAAAAATAGATGGATAAACATCTAAAATATATATATAAATTAGTAAATATATATACCATATACTAACATAATTAGAAAAATAACCGAGCTGATTGGGCATGTATTTCGTGGCAGGCACTGTCTAAGCACTTCACATGATTAAGTTAATGATCTCATCTGCTCTAGAATGTGGGTGCAATTACACATTTTCCTGATCAGACAAATAGGAAAATCCCCATCTTCCTGATGGTGCAAATGAGACACAAATAGATAAAGTAGGTGCCCAAGTTATGCAACCAAGTGGCAGAACCACAATTTCAAACCCAGGCAGTTGGGTGGCCATGGCCACTTCCTTCCTCTCCACTCTGCACTGCCTTAGACGGGGAAGAGCTGGGGCCAGGGTCCTTACTGGGAAATGCAGGTGAGAGCACAAAATTTAAACACAAAAGACTCAGTAATCAAGGTAAATAATATCTTCACGCAGTATCTTTTAAATTGAAATCAATGCGGAAATCCACAGTGAACAAAATATCAAAAACTTACATAAAGACAAGATCTGACCCTGTGCTGGCAGGGCTCTGCCTCCGTCACCTCGCTCCGGCATCAGCTTTGTGTCAGAGGGGCCAGATCTCCATCACAGCTCCTCGCTACATGAACCCTGTTAGCTAACCCCCCTATACCTCAGTTTGCCAATCTGTGAAATAGGGACAATGCCCTTTTGGGTAAGGTTGTGGATAATTCACGCAAAGTGCTTAGAACAGGGCCTGCCATGCAGTAAGTGCTCGGTAAACGTCAGCTTTTTTCCCCAGGAGATGGTGCTTCATGACACGAACCATCGCGCCTCAGAGCTGACGAGGGCTCCAGGCCTCTCATTTGACAAATACGGAGACTGAGGAACTGAGTGGCTAATGACACAGGCAAGGGCTGGAAGGGTGGAACTGTGAAGCAGCTGGGTGGAGATAAGATTTTGCCATCTGTCTTTTGCCGCTTTGATGGAATATCCAACTTGGCTCCACTTAGCTCGCAATGCCAGGGACCGACCAGAAGGCCCCCAAACCCAACCTGCCCCCTTCTGCCACCCTGATGCCTGCGGTGACAAAGACCAGCCCCCTGCAGAAAGCAGAAATGAATCCGCAGGCAGGGCCCAAGGGCCACCTGTGGGGTCTCCTCTGTCCCTCACAACAGCCCTGTGAGAAGGACGAGGCAGGCTTCTTCCTCCCATCCCACAGATAAGCAAAATCAAAGCCCAGGGAGGCACTGACTCCAAGAAATTAATTAAGTGAGGCCAGGGACCGCCAGGACTGTTCTGTCCTCGGCCTCTTCCCCACAGACTACAGCCTGCCACGCACCCCCTTGGCTCCTCGAGCGCCCCACTCAGTCCTGCTGCCGTACCGACTTTGGCCAGGCAGGTGGGAACAGGAGTGGGGAGGGGAGGGAAGCGTGACAGCAGGACCCACGGGAGCCTCTGGCCTTGGCCCACCCTCGGCACCCAGCCGTCGGCACCCACCGGCAGCAAGGGGGGGTCTGTTCCCAGCAGGGCCCTTCCACTCACCATCTGCGTGGAGGAGGAGTTTCTGGGAAAGTGGTGCATTCGAGGAGTCGCTAGGTAATGCTGATAGTGCTGAGGGATGGGCCGCACCTGGAACTGGGCAGGGCTCAAGCCGGTGTCCACGCTGAGATCCCTGCAGGGACGAGGCCACAGGGCAGTGTGACTCAGCCGTCTGAAGGGGGTCTGGAGGACGGACCTCAGACCTCAAGCCCAGGGACAAGAGTCAGAGTCACAAACCACCAAGGCTGCAAGGGGCTTGGCATCACCAGCCCCATCGCCTCTCTTTAAAAACGGAGACTCAGAGGAGGCAAGGGGTCTACTAGGCCTGAAGGGGCAGGGATGGTCTATGCCTCACAAAGCTTCTTCAAATTAGTGCACCGAGGCTCCCTCCCAAGATAAAGCCCGGCCCTGGGAGAAATGCTGAAAGAAGAATCCAAATAGAGCTGCTCAGGGAGGGATATGCAGCAAACGGAAGACAAGGGAGGCAGAGACAGAGGTGGGAGCAGAGGCCGTGTTTGGAGAAAACCACAGAAGAGGGACGGACCTCTAGAGCGGTGAGGTTGGAAAATCTATCCTGGACCCCTGCCCCCCCCTCCTGCAAGTACAGGAAAACTCATTCCCCTTAAAAATTAACCAGTCAATGGGGTGCCTGGGTGGCTCAGTCAGTTAAGCGTCTGACTTCGGCTCAAGTCATGATCTCACGGCTTGTGAGTTCAAGCCCCGCATCGGGCTCTGTGCTGACAACTCAGAGCTTGGAGCCTGCTTGGGATTCCGTGTCTCCCTCTCTCTCTCTGACCCTCCCCAGCTTGTGCGCTCTCATTCTCTCTCTCTCTCTCTCTCTCTCTCTCTCTCTCTCTCTCAGAAATAATAAGTGAACACACTTTTTAAAAAAATTTAAAAAAAATTTAACCAGTCAATGTGACTGAAAAGGAACCAGGTCCTTGGGAAACGGCTAATTTCAGGTCTGGGGCAGAAAACGCACAAAATGTTTTGAAACGTCTTGTCATAACTGCGAGCAAGGAAGTTACCCCAGGTCAGAGGTGAAAAGGATTCAGGAACTATCCTGAAGAGGTTCCCCCTGGCCAGTCTGGACACCTGGCAAGTCAGTGAGCATAATTACGATGGATGAAAACCCATCGAATAGGTTATGTGACGCCAAGGAAAACAGGGCCCTTTGAAGCATGTCAGGGAACGCAGACTTCATTTTGAAAACTAGTAAAGAAAGGGAAAGAACACAATGTTTACCCTGCCTTTCCTCTATTAGCTGTACTTGAGGGTAACCAAATGGCTGAAGAAGGGAAATTTCTCGTCATAAAAGCTTCCTAGGTAATAAATGAGGAAGCAAGAATTGAACTGTCACCTTTTTGCAGCCCCTAAAGGAATAGAGGCTCCTGGCGAAGATCATTTGATGTTACCATCACAGAAGGAAAGGCAACCAGCTCTCTGCTGGAAGAACACACCCCCTGTGAAGGATTTTTGCCAAGAAATAGTAAGAGCTGAACCAGAATGTGCTCAAACCTTGATCTAAGCACCAGAGCACAGGGAACATAGAGAAACTGAGGGAGGTCTTAAGGGATACACCAGAGTACAAGTGCAACTAGCTGAATCCAGAAAAGGAGAAACTCCACAGAAGCAGCCAAATTCTTCAACAAATACGTCAAAAGAAACAAAAACAAACAAGCAAACAGACAACCAATATAAGGGGCGTTAGGCATTAAAGGGATTTCTGCTTCTAGCCGTGATATACGTATATATTACGATGTACATGTAGTGCTGTATTTCCTGAATATATTAGCCCAAATCCCTGGGATAACTTTTCATGAGTCTATCATTTGGGAAATGAGCTAAATTCTTGGATCCAGTTGGAAGCAAACTTAGAAACCCACTAATCCAGCCCCTGGGCTCCCCAGGTCCTTCTGAGGCCTGAAGAGTGGCCGTGCCTGACCCACGGTCCTAGGCGAGGCAGTTTGGGCCACCTGGGTTCTAAGCCTTGCCCGGGCCCATTCCATTGACCTGCCTCGGGGAAGGTGTTCCATGGCGCACCCTCATGTGGCCGAAGCTCTGGCTGTCAGTATTTACTTAGCAGCCTCAGGGAGTGGGGGGGGGGGGGGCACCAAATTCAAAACAGCAAAGAGATATTCAGGGAATTCTACCAAGAGCAATGTCCAAAGGAACTTAGAACAGAGTCGACCCAATTGCAAGAATGATAACTGGGGGAGCAACGGCACCTTGACCCTCAATGAGTGGGATAACCTGCCCAGGTTGGCCCTGGGTGGTCTCTGGGATACCCCTCTTATCATCTCACCAGAAAATTCCTTCCTAAACCCATGATCCCTGAAAAGGGGACACTCATTGGGTGCAAAAGAAGCCTGGATTGGGACTTACCCTAGGACACATCAGCCCCTCGAAAAGCAGTGTCTCCCACCTTTCTGCTGTTGCCCCAGACTGTGAGAACCTGGCTGAGGGTTGAACAGGGTCACAGAAATACCTTACAGCCCTAGAGCCACAGGGTTAACCCAGAACGGTGTTCTGGAGATTTCCTGTGGGCATTGTCTCAATGCACAGTTTATGTCAGCTCTGTCTAAACATCAAGCTAAACTTGGAGTGCCTGGGTGGTTCAGTTGGTTGAGCGTCCGACTCTTGATTTTGGCTCAGGTCATGATCCCAGGGTCGTGAGACTGAGCCCCATGTTGGGCTCACTGGGTGTGGAGCCTGTTTGGGATTCTCGCTCTCCCTCTGTCCTTCTCCCCTTCTCACATGTGTTCTCTCTGTCTCTCAAAAAAATTTATATATATATACACACACACACACACACACACACATATATACATATACCTAATATAGCTAATATATATATCGCTAATATAACTAATATATACATATAGCTAAACTTTATTTTCCACTATCAATGGCCTTGAAACATGCCATGGTCCGGTTGCTACACAGACCCTTACGTTCTTCCCTGGGGGAGCATCCGTGCTGGACCGTCTCACAGGGGAATCTGGAGGCTTGGCAGAGGCACAGCTGCCTGCAGGGGAAGGACAGTAGGAGGCTCTTGTTCGCTGCCCTGCCACAGGTCCCAGGTGCCCCTGGGGGGCTCCTCCTGGGCAGGGCTAGGGCTGGGGGTAGGTAGTCAGAACAGGGCATCAGAGTTGGAACTCTGAAACCGGGACTGAGTCAGAGAAGGAGCACCATGAGGACAGAGACATTGGAGCTCAAGTTTAGGGTTGCGTTATCAGGCATGGACCCAAAAGGGGGCATAGTTGGGATTGATCCCCCAAGGCCTGCTGCTCCCACACACTCTGGGGCCAAGGTGCCCAGCTAAGAGAAGCTGCCTAGGTAGGGTTCATATATCCTAAAGTAAGGGTGACAGGCCAGGCAGAGAAAGCCCGGGGTGGACCCAGGTGTGCCTCGGGGCAGGGGCCTCCCCTCTTCCCCCGCTAAGGCCTCTCAGGGCCTCAGTCTTTATGTTTCTTAGGCAGACAGAGGTCAGGAGGGCAGCGTGATTGAGCTGCAGGAGGACAGAAGGTCTGGCTACAGCAAGCAGCCTGGCAGGGCTCACACCCACACTGCACCTGACACCTCTCCAGGCCACCACTCTCCACTCACCCGTGTCACCTACCCGGTCCCAACCTGCTGCACTGGCCCCGACATGTTTGTTCAAATCACTCGGTGTGTGCTGAATTGAATTCAATCGGATGGGCTTGAGTGCCGAGGGACAGAATTCAATCCAAACTGCAATTAAATCTTCCTGATTTGAATCTGCTAATTAGAAAAAGCCTGGGCTGAAGTTGGCCGCCATGCAGCCTGTCTTTTAAGGAAGTGTTCAATTTAACAGTGTCCCCAAGAACCAGCAGAGGGCTGAGAGACATCGGAATGTGCCAGAACAACAATTTCCTGCCCCTGGAAGCGCCCTGCACATGTAACCAACCAGAACTTTCCAGTTTTTGCATCATTCATTCCTGGATGTCCAGTTCGCCCAATGACTGAAGAATGACACAGTGGATGTCTTTTTTTTTTTTTTTTTTTAAATAGTCCATCCCTGGGGCCCCCCGGGGGGCTCAGTCGGTTAAGCGTCCAACTCCGGCTCAGGTCGTGATCTCGCGGTTTGTGAATTCGAGCCCCGCGTCGGGCTCTGTGCTGACAGCTCGGAGCCTGGAGCCTGCTTCGGATTCTGTGCCTCCTCCTCTCTCTGCCCCTCCCCTGCTCATGCTCTGTTTCTCTGTCTCTCAATAATAAATAAACATTAAAAAAAAAATTTAAAAAAATAGTCCATCCCTTTCCATAGAAGTTTCTTGTTTGCTTTTGCATTCTTTCAAGAAACATTTTTGACCTCAAAGTTGCAAAACCAGCACAAAGAATTCCTGGATACCCTTCACCCAGATTCCCCATGTGTTGATGTTTTACTGTTTACTGCATTCTTATTTCTCTCTCTCTCTCTCTCTCTCTCTCTCTCTCTCTCTCTCCATGTATACATATACACATCTACACACACACTTCTCCAGGGTTTGTTTTTTTTTCTGAACTATTTAAAAATAAATTACAAGCATGATGCCCTTTAAGCCTAAGTGCTTCAGTAAACTACACGTCTTTTTCGTGTGTTTGGGTGTTCGGATCTGACTCTAGATTAGGTCAGCCAACTCTTGAGCTAGAACCAGAGAGTCAGGTAGGGCAGAGGACCCAAAGCCAAGCAACGCTGCAAAGACATCTGTCTCAAGTGCAAGAGACAGTGGAAGGCCTCGTAGGGAGCTGGTGCCTAAAAGGCATCAGGCAAAGCTCTTAATCTCTCTCCCCAGCTTCTCTCCCCAGTCCTTACCTCCAACCCTGCTGGCTCTGCCTCTACGAGCCTGTGTTTGGTCTTGCTGACTGGCCCTGGCTCTTCTCTGTGGATCCCTCAAGGCCCACCCCCTCCAGGAAGCCTTCCCTGACTAGCTAGCTCTTGAGACTCTCCTTTCTGCCCGCCTTTGTAACTCTGTCCCCTCCTCCCTTGCACGACCGTGAGCACAGAGCCCCACGCCGGGTACATGATGATATCCAGCCACATAATGAGCTAATTGCTGAAACCAGGCCCACTGGGGGCCATTTGGCCTTGAGGGTGACTGGGGGCACAGGCAAAGGCAAGAGCTTGAGGACTAGGCCTCCTGCCCCATTCAAAGTGAAGGAAACAGGGTCTCCACGGACCAGCAAGACCTTCCTCCGACCCTCCTCCCTCCCTTGCTCAGGGGCCCCAAAGACTCACCAGTCAGTACCCTCAGCCAAATACCTGGGCTGAGGCGTCTGGAGTTGGTGGCCGAAGTCGAAGCTGGGGTGGAGGCGGTGGGGGTGGACAGACACACGCTCCTGACTCCGCCTGCACAGGAAGGGAAGGAGGGCCCGCGGTGTCACGGCTGCCCACAGCCAGCCCAGCTCCCAGGACCACCGAGCAGCCGTCGTCTGCCTGAGCCTGCAGCCTACAGAGCAGTGGGCTCTGCCTCCCTTCCCAAACTCCGAGGACATTCCCCAGCTTGGCAGCAGCCTGACCATTCCTGCTGCCCCGGCTCTGTCCACTTTTCTGAGGCCTCTCCCCGGGTGTGCCTGCAGCAGGCCACCCGTCCCACCCAAACTCTCTCGCCTCCTCTGCTCCTTCTCCTACTTCTTCCTTCTGAATTTGGTAGGCTGTCCCCAAGACACACAGATACGCCTCCTGCAGGCTTCCGCACACCTATGCACCCCTCTCCTCCACCCTTCTCTACACTCTTCCCAACTTTCGTAGTGCCGGTCAAAGCCACCACCTGCAGGAAGGCCTCCCTGAACACTCCAAGCATGGTGACCTCTTGTCCCTCCGACCCGCTACAACATTCATCTCTGCCTGCACCTGCACCCCTACAGTCATGGATGAGACTCCACTCAGAGCCTTAGAGACCATCAGGTCCAGCAGTCTTCAAAGTGTGTTCCAAGCGCCCCCGGGGGATTCCTGAGGCTCCGTCATGGGGTTCGTGAGGTCAAAACTATTTTCATAATAATACTGGGACGTTATTTGTTTTTTTACTCTCATTCTCTCATAAGTGAATGGTGAGGTTTTCTAGAAACCAAATGTGATTCTGCAACAGATTGAATATGCAGAAGCAGACATGAGAACACAGCTGTCTTCTATTAAGCCAGGCATTAAAGAGATTTGCAAATATGTAAAAAAAAAAAAAAAAGCCCCTCTTCTCACTACATTTATATATAGCTCGTTCCCCAAAAAAGATATTATTAGTGTTAGCATGAGTTTGTTATTGTATTTTGAAGTGAATTAATAAATATTTTTAAATTTTCTTAGTTTTAACTTCCATCATGGTAAGTATTAATAGTCATAACCCACACAAACAGAAGCTTGTGTAATCCTTAATAATTTTGAAGCGTGTGAAGGGTCCTGGGACCCCTGGATGGCTCAGTGGGTCAAGCGACCAACTTGGGCTCGGGTCATGATTTCACACGGCTCATGAGTTTGAGCCCCGCATCGGGCTCTGTGCTGACAGCTCAGAGCCTGGAGTCTGCTTCAGATTCTGTGTCTCCCTCTCTCTCTGACCCTCCCCTGCTCATGCCCTGTCTCTGTCTCCGTCTCTCTCAAAAATAAACATTCTTTTTTTTTTTTAAAGAGTGTAAAGGGTCCTAAGGCAAAAATATTTGGGAAGCACCAGTGTAAGCTCTTTCTCTTGAGAGAGGTGAAGTGACTTCCCCAGGGTCCCACAGCCCTTCAGACCTATCTGATTAGTATTATCTAATTTTACTCTCCATTTGTTTCGAACTAGTCACCTCAACCAGACCTCGGGCTCCAGGGCGGAAGCAGCCACGTCCTTTGGTGTCCCTTAGAGAACCGAGGTGTTAGAATCAGGTGACCATGGAGCTCAAGGAGACATAAGGGACCCCATCTCCCCCACTGTGAGCAGAAACCACCAGTCACTCAGTCCCCGTCCCTGCACCCGGGTGGTATGACAAGGACACACACTAGCTACTGAGGGAACCCGTGTGGGGTCCAGGTGGTGTTCCCTGCCTGACACCAACGCCTCTAACGAGCAAAAGCTGTCCCCCCCCCCCCCCGGGGGGGAGGCCCCCCCCGGCCCCCCCGCCCCCCCCCGGGGGGGGGGGGGGGGGGGGGGGGGAAGGCAGGCGTCCCGCTCTAGGCCCCGCCCCCGGCCACCCCCGCCCCCTCCGGCCACCCCCGCCGCCCCCCCTCCTCCCCCCCTTCTCCCCCTTC